TTTTTTTTTTTGTTTCATATTACTTTTTTGAAGAAAGTCAACAATTGTGGGCAAGGAAGAAGTCGATATTACCCTTTTGTTTTGATTAAATGTGGATGAAAAATATTTCAAAATGATGAGGATAAAGTGGGGAAATGGGGATGAAAAAAGTGGGGATAAAATGGGAAATGAAAATACGTCCTAAATGAATAGTAACCAACAGATTCCCTCTTTTAATAGAAGAGGGATGCTATATATAGTTTTAACTCCACCCACTTCTCAAGCACGCCACACTCAGAACCACACTCAGAACATTTATGCAGAAACATCAAACCTCATTATCAAAATCCAGTTGGATCAGTAAACGAATATATTCACAAAAATGAATAAATCATCAAAAAATTTATGTACAAGGAAGGGAAGCTAAGGGAGTAATAGAAACAGCATCTTCAACATCTAATGCATTGTCTAAGACGACATTGTCAACGATCTAACTGAACTCTCCTTCCTCGGACCCTGCAACATGCACAAGGGGAATGACCATAAATGGTGGTTTAAATTCATGGGTGCCACCACTTCTTCTTTTTCTTCAACCCCACCTCGGGCAATTCTACATGCAAACCGAACAACATAATACAAAGTAGAGAAGAAACATAAAAGGCCATTCGACTTTTGTCTATTCAGCAGAGGAAGATCATGAGAAATTTAGACAAAAACACAATTTTAAATAAACATTTACCTCCTAATGGATAGATTGAATTATAGTGCACTTCAGCCCAGAAGCTCAAGAATATAACTGCAGTGAACATAGAAACCAATTGTTATGACAACCTTAAATCCAAAGAAGGAAATTATTCCCCCAAAAAAGAACAATTTATTGATTAAAATAATATATCAAGATATATACATATAGATAGAGGGATAAGTAAAACAGACGAAACAGACAGTATTATGATATTCTTACAGTTCACAAAATGGGAAGTGTGTTGTAATCAAAGTATAAAACACGGAACAAAAGGGGTAGGGTTCTTTATGTTATGTCGGTAGGGTCCATTTGTTTTGCGGTTACATAGGGGAAAGGGAAAAGGAAATTTCGGGGAGATAAAAGACAGAATCTATTGAGATTTTCTCTCAATTTTTTCGTTATTTCACTTTCCTTTCATTTTCATTTGAAATTAACAGAACCACATTCTAAGGAAATATTTCTCTATGAAATCAAGCCACTTTCTTCTTACACTGAAAAACTAAATTACTCGTTGCATTAATAGTTGAATTGCAAAATTTAGCATTTCAAAACAAACCCGAAATTTTCTAGGCACTTAAACATGTTCCCAATGATGCTAGATTTCTATTCGTTAATCTACATCAACAAATCATAAAAAAAGAACTTGAAACTTACTTCTGTTTGACTTCTTAGTATGTGGAAGAATCTCGATATAGCACGTATCCTTGAATGACGTAATGACAAAGATCTTGACACCATACTGCCATAAAAAAATTTAAGTTGTAAACCAATATTTTAAATAAAAAATATATCATGTAAGATAGCAACAACTCAAGTAAATCAATCCAGAACCAACTGTCATTGAAAGTCCAAAGTGTAGAGAGAGAGAGTGAGAGAGAGAGAAGTTTCTTTAATATTGCTTAACGTGACCCAAGCGGAACCTTAAGATCGTTCAAATGAACAGGTGTAAACATACTATTTTCAATGGTACAGATTGATCATTTCATTACGCAGTATATACCTACTGCCACTACTGACTTCGTACAGTAACAAGAAGTTATTATCTACTGTTCAAGATCAGAGAGCATAGCTCTTGAAAAACACGCGGAATTTATGCATTGCATCCACACATGTACAAACAAAACAGAGAGAGAGAAGAACGCAGGAAGGAAATATACTGAATCTGCAGCAGCCTGCAACGTGACATGATCACCCCACTCCCCTGTCCTGCAATCATGCAGTGGAGATTAGACAAGTAGATAGTGACCAGATTCTGTCAAAAGATCAGACAAGAAAGAAGCTACATATGAAATGGTACCATACTTCTTTATTTTCTGCAAATAGCCAACATAAGCCATGGGAACATAATTTTCATACAGTTCTCGATGTGACTTCAACTGATGGTGGCAATTTAAAAACAAAAGCAACGTTAAAATCCAAAACAATATGTGGCACTGAAAAGAATCAAATGAATTAATACGAAAGTGAAATGCAAATCTCATTGGCAACAAAAATGCTAAGAAACCTGGTTGACAACTTGTTCTCTCACAAATTCGTGATGCTCTTGAGTACGATATATTTGATCTGAAAGTGAACGAAACTGCAAAAGGACATTTAGAACTTAGAGTCCATGTGTCATGCCTTCTACAAGTTCAATACATATGAAAATGGCTAGCACTCAGAGGTACAAAAGAAGTGCTTCACTTTGATTCGGAATTTTTAATATATATACAGCGTCAACTATCAATTGCCCTCAAATAGGAACACGCTTAAAAAGAAGATCCTACAGATTTTGAAACTTGAATCCCTTAAAAAAGCATGGTCATAACTTGGACATGACTCCATTCATTGCTCATAAAAAGTATACAAAATTTGGCATCTTAAACAAACTAGCGTGGATCATGTTGAGCACATACAAAAAAATTAGCATGCCTTGTCCAAAATTTTCAAATTATTTTTTCCTTTCTTTCTTTCTTGTTTGATGGGCTGGCACTTAACAGGCGTGCTATTGACACCCATATTAAATGCCGCGGGGAAAACACTACCAATTGGAAGACAGGAAAAACTATCAGGTAATTGACTTTTTCAAGATGCTATTCTGATAATAAAAAGCTAAACAGAATAACAAGAAATAATCAGTTTTCCAATTATAATTATGCTAAATAGAATACAAGTGGCCAAGCCAATTCTCGAAATAACAGGATAAACTGGTGGTGCAATTTTTCAAGTAACGCATCAATCAATTAGAAGAACGTGTCCACGAGCATGCATAATGTGTACAAGTGTGCATCATACTGGTATTAATGCTTTGATATTTGGGGAAGACGTGCCATCAATCTGCAATTTGCACTAACATCTAAAAGAATATAGATTGCTCATGTACAAGTGTAGATGGAGTCCAGGGATGTTCAAGAACCAACCTGACAATTACCATCTCCGGAAATTTTTAGCTCCACCAGGTCATACAACTGCAATCTGATTAAGACAAAAAATGATGAGTTAAAAGGCACCACAGTTATGAGAAAGTAATGGGCAATTCAAATAACCAGGCATATAAAGAGTATAGAAACGTCACAGGAAATTTCACAATACTTCATTCAAGCCACATCCATTTTGAACTTGTAACTTCATTGAGAGGAAGCAGAAAGGACCAATCAAAAGTGAATTTAACCAAGAAGACAACCGCTCAAGAAAAATTAAATGCCTCGGAACTTTTATCCAATTTTCGTACATTTGAGATGTCAGATTAATTATATCATTAAACTCGCATTTTATGTTTCAGGGAAAATATTGATATATTTTAGAACATTTTCCAATAGTCAATGAAATATGGTTTCCAATATAAAAGACCGTGAAAAGCCGGAGTTCCACTATAGATGAAATCATTTGATAATGAAACTAACATTTACCTATGCTGCATATCTCACTCCCCTGCCCAAGTTCCAGGAGTCTGACATGAATATTTCAGTTCACAGTAAGAACCCAAGTAACACATAGTTTCGTATTTTTCCAGAACGTTGAACATAAGGAAGTTAAAGATGATGCCTCCGTAAGATAAATGACCCCAAAATTGCATGCCAACAGCATACAGTTCCCCTTGTTCACAGTTGAAAAAATTGTTTCGACTTTTGCAGTCAATCAGACCATTTGGCAAAATCTATATTTTAAGTATATTCATTTTTTTTTTTTTGAAGATAAATGAAGTTTTAAAGTAGTTCAATTGTTAAAAATCATGTTTTGTGGATATAGCCTATTAATGAAGCTTGAAGGTCCAATAATCCGGCAGTTCAGTGTTCACAACATGTTACTCACATAGTTCAAATGAGATAATTGGCATGACATACCAAAATATAGCCATGCAAAATGTGAGGAGAAGTGGGGGAGAGAAAGAATCAAAACAATGAAACAGTAGCAATGCAAGGAACAGCTTAACCACCAGGGGAAACAGAAGAAATGTTGCACAAGACCTGTCAAGCAGCCTTTGATGATCTGATGAAACTTCATCAACAGATGGTATTTCTCCATTAATTTTAGGAACATGCTGCAAAGTGATTTTCAGCAATAACGCCAGAATCAATAAATCTTAAAATAACCACCATAGAAGTTATCATTACTTGATTTGCCATTATATTAATTAAAAGATGTTCCATAGGGAAGAGTAAGCTACTACAGGAGCAAGACAAAGCTCGATGTAAGGTTAAGGATGTTCAAGTGACGACTGGACGTAGTTCCTCTAGATTTGAGAAAGAATAAGGTAAACTTTTAACTCACAGGAACCGGAACCATCTGATTAAGTCTTCTGCCCATTTCACCATAAAGAGCAGATTCAGCTTCTATCTCAGGTAAGACTGTTTGGTTCTCACACTCAATTGATAATTCACCAAGGTTACACGAAACTGTTCCCATTTCATATGCTTCATGATTACTTTGAGATTCTGCAGATGAGATGAAAAAAATTCAAAGAAAAATAAAATCTTATCTACAAATGAAAATAAAAAACGATGATGGTCCCATACCAGAACCGAAGTTCCTTCTTGAAGGATCAAGCCAAGTTTGAGCAAGAATAGACGCTTGCTGTTGTTGTTCTCCAGCATATTCAGATTCCGATGCCTCTAAAGCTGCAAGACTAGATAATTCTTCCTGAAGAGCATGAGCAATTACTTCGTCGCTCTCCAAAATAGAGTGTGCCGTGTCCCAATAACCCACCTTCACAGACTCAATTTGAGACGAGTCTTTGTCATAACAAGTAACAGTTCCAAGAGAACCACAATTTGTAAGAGAGCATACATCTATAAGGTGAAGGCCCCACCGAACAACATCAGGATCTGGTTCATACATGGTTGTGTTCTTCTACAAGATTTTATGAAGCCTCCCCAATTTAAACCAAAATTTTCATGTTCCAAAGTTCCTCTGTGCAATTGCAGTGAGCAAATACTTCCTGCTAGAATAACATACAGCTTTATCTTCAGAAAATGTAGGCCTCTCAGTTTCATAATTTGACTAAATTTGCAGAGCCACAGTTTTTTATGTGACCAACCAGGAATCTACTTCTACCAATTATAAATTGGAATTCCAGCATGAAAATAAACAAGTGTGCAGAATGGGTATAAAAATACCAAAATACAACCACAAATGTATTACCAACTGGCAAACTTATAACCATTGATAACAAATGCAATTCCAGTTCTACATCAAACAGATATCTTAGAATTGACATTCATGCCATATAAATTATAAAGCAATTAGACTTAAGAGTCAAAATGTCCAAGATATTGTTGAACAGGAACAAATAGTACCAAAGAAGAACTCGTCTTTGCCCACCCCACCCCCTTACCCTACCACCACCATTTAGGACTGGAGGGAGGATAAAAATTAAAATCATATGAAAATGAAAAAATAAAAATAAAAATCATGATTTACATAGATGGCTGACCCAACCGCCACCAAGATACTGTTGCCACAAGATGGTTGACCCTAGATATAGAAATCATGATTTATGTAGCCTCTCTAATAAAAATCTCTCTGGTTAAACACTAGAAAGAAATCCGAAGTTCAAAGGAAGGACGTAGCAAGATATATATTAATATAAATTCAAAAGCGCAATAGTTACAACTAACTTAAATAGGGACAGAGTGCTTCAAAGAACTGCAAAAACCACTCATACAAGCACCATGGAATCAAAGATGGACAAAGATTGATCTCTTTTTAATAGATAGAATAAATCCAGATTGAAAAACTCTTGACCTCCCATTAGCGCGAGTAAAAAGCAGTTACAGCACTAAATAAATTCTGAAGACAAAGTTTCTTATTCAAAGCCCAGGAGTGAGTGCAAATTTGTAGTGGGTTACATTATTATTCAAAAACTAAGTAAATCATTTACCTACAAGGCTACAATACACACTCATGATATATGACCAGCCCACTAATGATCCAATGTACATAATCTATCATCCAATACAGAACCCTGATTCATAATAAATATCTCTTTTCATATAGAACAAAACTATCATATTTGAAAAAAATCAGACTTTCAGATATACCACGTAAAAGATATTAAGAAACACAAACAAGTTTTGGTCTTTTCCTATCCCTCCTTACATTCAGGATAAGCACACTTGAATTGCAATTCATACCCCATTTGTTATGCTACCAAACATAGATTTTCTACTTGTGATGGTAAATGTAACGACTCGGGCCTCTGTACCCAAGCCGCTTTGGGAGAGCCCATCTATCCCTCACGGCTTTCTTTCATGTCTCGTCTCGGGTCGTTACAAAAAATAAGCATTTTTTCTGTAATGACCCGAACTTCTGTGCCCAGACCATTCGTTTATGTACTATCCGTTTTGTGAGAATTTAAATCCATCTTATCCCTCAGTCGCATGCCTCAAGATTCAAATTCAAGACCTTTGCCTCGTTACTTGCCCAATTGGTACGAGACTTAAGGTAGAGGTCTTAGATTCGAATTGTTACCATGATTTAACTTATGTCTCATAAGGCATAGGTCTTCGATTCGAATGCTGGGAAACCCGACAAAAACCATGATGGGTAAGATGAACTTAGGTACGAACAGCTTGAGCATAGAGGCTCCGGTTGTTACAGTAAAACTTCCCCTAAATCAGATTGACGACGACCCCTGTAGAGTTTCAACTATGATCATTAGCTTACTCTTTGTTAAGTACATAAACATCTGAGACACTCCTCAGGCACCCGATACACATGTATAAACATTAGAGTTCATCAAAGGACCTTCAAAAGATCAATTCAATCATTATTCATCAACTCCGCATCCTATGACTTGGAATCCAGCGAAAGAAAAACTTGATTCTAAAATTCGGAGCTTTGCAATGTTACAAACCCACTGAATCAATAATCCTGAACATTTTAATTCTAACTTTAAATAAAAAAAGAACGAACCCTGAAATTCAATTCATCTCTACCAAACCAAACCCATTTAATAACTTCTAAAATACAAATAATATACAAAATACACACGCGTATGTTTGTAAGTAAGCATTTACAAACCTTCGAATTCGAAGCTAATAACCCAAAAATTCTTTACCAACAACAGTAATTGTGCAATTTCTGAATAGGTAAAGTGACTAGACGTCACGTTTTTTAATTTTGGGATAGCGAATAGGACGAAAGCAGGTACACTTCTTTTCGTACAATCAGTTAGGGTGCGATTGGATGGGTGGAAATAAAATATTTTACAGGGAAAAGATTTGTCTAGAAAATGTTTTGTAGGAAAAATGATTTCAAGTGTGTTTGATTGGTATAATTTTCCACCTGAAAAATTTTTAAATTTTCTATTCGTTTGACTTTGTTTTATATGGAAATTGTTCATTAAAATGATATTTTTTTCCACAATTGGTTATAAAATTTGTTTCCATTGCCAAAAAGTAAAAAAAAAAATGAAAAAAAAATGTTTCCTAAAAAATCATTTTTTTATCAAAGTTTAGTGTTCGTTTGACTTTGTTTTACATGGAAATTGTCCATTAAAATAAAAAAAAAATTTTACCATTGGGTATGACATTTGTTTCCATTGCCAAAAAAAAAAAAATTGTTGACAGGAATTGGAAAAGATTTTCTCACCATTTTGGTTAGAAAATCTTTTCCACAATTTCATGGAAGGTGGCACGTGGGAGAGTTGGGGAGGAAAATTTTTTCTTGGCCAACTTTTACCCATCAAACAACACTTTTGCATGGAAAAGGAAAATGTTTTCCATTTTCCATGGAAAAGAGAGGCTATCAAACATAGCCTTATAGTAGAGTCTAATGATCTTGAATAGAACTGTTAACTATACAAGAATAAGTAAAATTATTTTTAACCCATTTGTTTCGGACTAAAATTAGATTTTAATTTAAATCAAAGACAAATAATCAATATTAAGGGAAATTACATTCACACGGGTATTTAAAATTTTCAATTCAAAAATCAGATTTGGAGTTTATTTATACAAAAATCAGGTTATAATTCCATATTTTAATAATAAATAATATAAATCAATTTATATACTCACACCTACCCTATTCACCCCATTCAAATCCAAGGAAGAAAATTTCCTCCCCATTCTCTCCTCTCACTCTCCCTCTCCCTCTCCCTCTGACCTATCTCTCTCCGTCAAATCGCGCGCGTGGTCGGAGAGCATGTCGCCGGAGACCGACTTCATTCCACTTCAAATTCATTTTCATTTCTTCTTCCTTCTCTCGCTACCTCTCCATTCTCTCTCGACTCCATATCATTCTCTCTTAATCGGAGCTCCTGGTAAGCAAGAGATTTGGTTGCGCACATCGGGTATTGATGGGTGTCGTGCGTTGTGGTGGGCGATGCTTAATTCAACGCGAGTCCTCTTAATCGGAGCTCCGACCAAAGATCTGGCCACAAACAGCGGTGCACACCAGCGGAGCACAGCTACGCAACGGTGGGGTTGGTGGTTGCGGTGTGATGGAGATGGTGGTGGCGACGGCTGTGGATTGGTGGTGCTTGTGTTGGTGAGGTGTTGGTTTTGATTTTTGTTGTTGGAGTGGTGGTGGTGGTGGTTTCCATATTTTGGTGGTGTTTGGGGTTTTGGTTGATTTTTGTTGATGGTGTAAGTGGAGTTGTTGGCGATGGCTGTAAAGGTTGTTGATGATAGTTGTGGTCATGGCGGTGGTGCATTGGTTGTACTTTGGATGTGCATGGGGTGGGGTGTTTGTGACCAATTATTTGAGATTGTGATCAATAAATTGGATATTTTGTGACCAATGTGACCTAAAAAGATGAATTGTGACTTTAATATTTGTGATTTGTGACCGACAAATTGATATTGTGACCGATAAATTGGATATTTTGTGACCAATAAATAATATGTGATCTAAAATATAATCTGTGACTTATTAATTTGATAGATTCGAGACCGATAAATAAATTGTGACGTATATCTGTGACCGAATGAACAAATTGTGATCGATAAAATTTTTGAATTGTAGCCGTAAAATAATTTGTGACATATGAAAATTGTGATTTGTGACCAATTATAAGGAATTTGCGATCAAATTATATGGAATTGTGACATTAATATATTTAATTAATAAAATATATGTTTAATTAATTAATTTATAAATAAAATTTAAAAAACTCTTAAGATTTGAAGTTTAAACATAATCTCTTAAATTTGAAAATTAGTAAATCTGTAACCTTAATATATTTAATTAATTAAATAATTAATTAAATCATAAATAAATTTGAATAAAAACCCGATTTTTGAAATTTAAAACATTTATTCTTATTTTTGAAATGGGTGATACTTAATCCCTTACTTATGTAATGTTCTCTCAATATTAATCACATCTTTCATGAGTTCACAACTTTTCAACCACACATTTCAAAAACTTATATCACAATCTACAAAAAATCTAATTTTAATCACCACCAAACACCCACTAAAGGTACCTAATTTGCCAGTTTCATATTCTAATTATTTTTTATTGAGTTCTTATTTTAATATGTCATTAGTTAGAACATTATGTCTCAAATGATAATTTTGTTAAATATATTAGTTATTTATCTTTAATAGTAAATTATTCTTTTTACCATTTGCTACGAGACTATAAAGCTTATTTCATTTGAATTTCACTATGCAACTGAAGGGGAAAAAAAAACCTAGTCCATTTTCTCCCATGAAAATAGCCACCTTTGAATTGTATAGTTTAAGGCTTTTGCTCACTTTCATTCCACTTGTGATCGGAAAATATGGAGGTTGGTACTTATCACTATAAAATAAAAGAGGCAACGCATGGGCAGGCCACGTGTCACGATTTTCCATCGTCGTCAAAATTCAAAAAAAATTTCCGTCATT